CCGGGGAGCGGCCGGGCCGAGTCCCATGGGTTCGCATTTCATGTTTTAAGAAGCTGCCAGCTGTTTCTAGCTGGGGGGGGGGCACCACTTCCCTTCCCCCCAGAAAGCGGGCGGTCCCCGCCGGCGCACACCTTCACTGCCATTTGTCCTTTTTAGCCAAACAGGTGTGGGCTGAACCTCCTCGTGCCGACTGGCGATGCCGGCTCTTCCCGTGCTGCTTTGCTCTCTGTGTATTTTTATTGCTAAATGTGTTGCAAATCTTTTGCCAGTTAAAAAACTTAAATTGTTTTCTTTTTGACTTTTAGGAGTTCTCTAAGTATTCTGGATACAAATCCTTCATCAGATAATATAATTTGCAAATACTTTCAGTGGTCTGTGGCTTTTTTCATTCTTTTAACGGTGTCTTTTAAAGAGTAGAAATGATCAAACTTTGATGAAATCCAATCTAAAAATTTATTCTCTCATCGATCATTCTTTTGGTGTCCTCCCTGAGAAATCTTTGTATTACCCAAGTTCACATTTTCTCTTATAGTCACTTCTGGAAGTTTTAGTGTTAGAGTTTACATTTAGATCCATGATGCGTTTTGAGTTAAATTTTGTATGTGTTGTGAGGTAGGGATCCAAGTTATTATTTTTATTTTTATTTTTATTTTTGGCATGTGTATGGAGATCCAATTATTCCAGAACCATTTCTTAAAAAGACGATCCTTTCTCCAGGGAAGTGCCTTTGGAGTTGTCGAGAATCAGATGTTTTCGTGTGTGTATTTTTTGACTCACTGTTTGGTTCCATTGATCTAATTATGTACCTTAATGTCAACAAAACACTGTTTTGATTATTGTAGATTTATAATAAATCTTTAAAAATCTCAAAATCAAGCAGTGCTACTTGCCCAGCCCTGTGGCTCGACATCGGATTGTTGGCCTCCTGCATTGTGAGTGGCACTGATTTTTAGTCGATTTCTGCTTGTTCGTCACTTGCACGTAATCACGCGACTGGGTTTTGCATCGTGACCGTCTCTCCTGCAGTCTAAGTCGCTGGCCCGTCCCGTCAGCTTTTCTGCAGACGGTCACGCCGTCGGCACACAGGGCTCGCCGTGTCTTTTCTAATCCATGGGCCGCGCGTCTGTTTTGATTTGCTGCGCTGGCGAGGACACCCGCCATGCAGAAGGGGTGACCCTGGAGTCCTGTCTTCGGGGGAAACGTCTAGCCTTTCACCTCACGTTAGCGTGTGAAGTGTGATCCGGCTGCATGTTCTCCCTTCGTCGGGCTGAGGAAGGTGCCCGCTAGTCCTGGGCGACTGCCACGTGTGGTTGTGTTGGCGTTTGTGCGTCTGTGCAAGAGATGCTGCCTCTTGCGTCCGCTGACATGGTCATTTTCTGACCATTAATATGGTGAATTATACTGACCGATGCCTGAACGTCGAGCAACTTTGCTTTCCTAGGATAAGCCCCATTCGGTCGTGATGTATTACCCTTTAACATAGTGCACGATACTGTCTGCTAAGATTTTGTTCAGAACCTGCACCTAAGACCATGATGGCTCCTGGCAGTTCCCGTAATGTCTCTACCGGGTTTTGGTCTTGCAGACTCGTAGGTTGTTCCCTTGCTCTAGACGGAGTTGTGTCCTCCGTTTGTGTGGAAGGCCCCACCCCGTGTTTGGTCCTGGACCTTGCAGCTCTCCATGCTGCAGCTCACCGCCCCCTGTCCACCCAGAGGCCCCCTTTCCAGCAGTACCCACCGGCGCCCTGGCTCTCAGGCTCCTCATGGGCCCTCTTTGCCTAAACCGTCATGATGGTCAGTCTCACACTGAACTTGGCCAGTTTTGCAAACGCTAGTCTAGGTGTTGCTATGAAGGTACTTTGCCATGTGGTTCACCTCCAACTGGCTGCCCTCAACTAGAGATCATTCTTGATAATGTGGACAGGAGGCCCTCCATCAGCCGAAGGCCTGGGGAGCAGACCCAAGGTCTCCCTAAGGAATTAGTTCTGGCAGGAGATGCCTGGGTGCCTACAGTCGCTGCCAGCTGACTCCTTCAGATGCACCTCCTAGAATGGGCACCTGTCTTCTGGTTGTTGGTGGCACTGCCCCGCACCCCTGCAGTTGGCCTGCAGCCGCCAGGGCTTGTCCAGACTGCTTCCTGCAGTGGGCCGCTGCCACTCTCCCTCCTGCATGCCTGGGAATCAGGCTGGAGGGAAGTGGGGAGCAGAGGGGCCCCTCCAGGCCCCCAGGCCTCGGCCGTGACAGGGCTGGTGCCGCCGGCGGCTGGTCAGGGGGAGCCTTCCCTGTGAAAGGCCCCAGCTCAGCAGTGTTTCTACCGGCTGGTGTGGAAATGAAACAGGCCCAGACAAGATTCTTTGAACTGACAGCTCTAATAAATTCCAAAATCTGAGCAGCCATTCGAATCATGTTTCTTGTAAAACACGTAAGAGAACACGGGTGGGTGCCCAGCGCCCGCTGCTCCGCTGCACAGGCCTGCATCACGGCCGGGCCGGGCTCAGGGGCCGCCCGCTCCACCGGGCCACGTGTCTGCCGTGGCTCCCGGCGACGCAATAAATAGAATCCAAACCAGGACGAGGGGGCTGTGCGGCCCTACGTGGCACCCCAGGCTGGTGGGCTCGCAGCCTGTGGCCCGGCGTACTCTTCACAGACCAGGGCAGGTCTCCGAGTCGGCGGCGAGGTCCCATCCC